TTTTACATGACATTGTCACGTAACACTGGAGAGGTGCTTTTAAAATGTGTCATAACAAATTGATGTGGAAAGAGCGTCCTGAATTTTTGGAAAAGACAAAGAAATAGCTCTGACTTTGGATAAGTCACTTCATTTCTGTAGGCCTGAATTTCCTTATTTGAAAAATGACAAATTTTGACTGGACAGTACCAATTAAGTATGAATTTTCCATTGATGCTTCTAATTATTTATCCCCAAAGAATGAAACTTAATAGACTAAATCAAGGGCTCGACTTTGTTTATGTCATACTCCCCACTGGCAGTCTGGTGACTCCTTCTGAGAAAACTATTTTTAAAATAAAATAAAATACATAGGATTACAAAGGAAATACACATGGAAATACAGTTGTCAGAATTTTTTTTTTAATTTTCAGACTATAGGTTAAGAACCTCTAGAATTACATATTTAAGAGTACTCATATCATGGGATCGAAGAATTTAGAGTTAGAAGGAACCTTGTAGATCATCCTCCACAACCCTCTCATTTTATAGATGAGGAAACTGAGCCCCAGAGAATTTGAGGGATTTGCCAAAATTCACACAATAGCAAGAAATCTATGAAATGGATTTATTCCTAAGAAGTTGTATGTGGATCACAATTTAAATGTTCTAAGGAGAAAAACTCATGCAAAGTAGGGGGGTGTTGATGGTACATGTTTTTATACTGCAAATCAGTAATCTGTTTCATAAATTCCTATTTATATAACATATTGAAGCTTTTTAAAGCAAAGTAAATCTTAGTAGTCTGAATAAATGGAAAATGTTTATCTTAAGATGAGTTTTAATTGAGTCAATATTACTATGTAAACCTTAACTTTAATTATTTTTAAATGAGTTCTAACTTAACATTTTTGCATTAATTTTATTGAAGCAAAGGTTTTTTTTTTAAGCCACATAACAGAAAAATAATTGCTATCTAAGCCTTAACTTTGATTATTTCAAATGTGTGTTCTAACTAAAGGTCACTAAAAAAATAAAAAAACCTAGCACAAACACCACAAAAAACTTTCCTTATAGTGTCTCTTCTTTAACTCTTACTAATTTCCCCAGCTGTGTTAAACTATAGCCGCATAAAAAATTAAATAATACTTTTATCTACAGCTGTATATTAAACACATTTTATATTTTTGGACGTTTAATCTAGACATTTAAGTGACAGACCCATTCAAAAATTTGTTTTTTCATTGAATTTTAAGCAAGATTAAATCTTAAATTTTATTTAAAGAAGGTAATTTTTTTTGCTTATCATAATTAACATGAATTGTTGATTAAATAATTAAACTTGAACATTTTTAGCTAGAAATTTTTTTAATGGAGTTTACAGTGGAAGCATTTCACATAATCTTAACACCAGCATTTTAAACTAGTCGTTTTAATTTATTCATCATGGAAAAATTTCAAATAATTTCAGAATAATTGAATAGAATAATTTTGTACAATTTGCTTCAGAGTTTGTGTTATTTTAAGTGAATATGAATGTACTTTAGGTCACTTAAAAGCCTACTGCCTGTAGCAGCTTTCAGGAGTCTGGCTGTTTCATCATAAACTATATTGCCCATGCCAGCAGACATTTTGAAGATAACATGGCTCAGGGAAGTTAAAAAAAAAAAAAAACCAAAACTCTGTAATCTTTCTTTTAATACTTACGTTTAAGAGAAAAAAATTTAAATCTTTTGGAGTTTACTCCAATACAAATATTTTTGATATATTAGATTTGGGTGGTGGTATGGGAATAAAAGGAGGCATTGCCATGAGTAATATAGTCACTTCAAAATGTGCTGGATCATTGCAGTTATATTGCAGTTTGGATTGAAATGGCAGCTCTAAATGATGAAGCTTCACAATTCTATGATGTTTGTATATTCATTTAAAATAAATGAACTCATGCCCCTTCATAAAAATATGAAGGTGAGTTCTAGCCATATTCCTGTTGTGTTAGTAGAGTCTTCAGTATCCATGTGCAGGGATATGGATGTTAAACTTATTTAAATTTTTTTAATTGAGGGAAAACAAGGAATATAAGTGTTACTCTTTAAACTGTCCCTAAATTATTATGTTTAAAACTTACAATACTTTGTATGAACTTATTGGGATGTAGGTTCTTGAATGAACTAGTATTTATTGCCCACAAATTTGTCATTGTACTGTTTATCAGAAGTGTCACTTGGAGAATATATAGTTCCTCTGTTTCTAGTAGAGATTTAATATGGGGGTCTTTTCTCTCAAGTAAGAAGCTTAAGTTGAAGAAATGAATTTAATTTAGCTGGGACTTCAATATCTAACATTTCTTATAGGTGTATTTGCTTACATTTAAGTTGTTATTCACTTATAAATAATAAAAATGGTCAGTGTGTCTTTTCTCCCTCCTAACTTCTAGTTAGCATTTCTCAGTATGTTTTGATAAAAGATACTGTATATCACCTCTCCTGGCAGCATTTTCTTTCACACTTTTATGCTCATTAAGTGTTCTCTATCTATTTTGACTTGTGTCCCTCTTCATTGTTAGTAAATAAAAAACTGAAACTTGTAGAAGTGGAGACATTTCCAAGTTGTGTCAAGTTTTTCATTGACCACCAAATAATACTAATTTTACTCTTACACTGCAGAGTTAAAATCCCACAGTTTGGTTCTACCCCCTGTGGTAATGAATTAAATCAACAATCAATCCACAAACTTTTATTAGTCTTCTCCCCTCTGTGCCAGGCACTATACTAGGGCCTTAGGATACAAATTAATACAAAGAAGAAATGATCTCTACTCACAAGGAGTTTATATTCTAATGAAAAACTTAACACTAGTCTTCTTTGGTATATTTGGACAGTATGCCTTCCTTCTTTTTATTAAATCTGTGATATTATAGATTGAAAGATAAGTGGTTTTAAGGCCTCTTATACAACTCACCTTCGTTCAGTTTTTAAATAAACATACTTCTGATACATCCTACTCATAATAACGTGCATAGTAGAGCAGAAAGCACAAAAATTTAGAATTTACTTTTAAAGGTTGTTAATTCATCATCTTAAATATTTATTGTCAAATGTATTTGAACATGAATGTCCTAATTAACCTGTTAATATAAATATGTTTTTATCTTTTAGGAAGGAATGATGTCTTTAATACTCTTTCAAAATTTGAACTTGAGAATACAGTTTGAAAGTTTAATTTTGTTGAGTCAACAAAGTATATTCCTTAGCATAGAGGTAATATTTCAGAGACTGCCCAAAAAATTTAAATTGGAAATATCACAAAGGACATTGGATATGAAAATGTGATCCATTAGAAGAAAATTGTTTGCTTTTTAAAACTTCATTATTATAAAATCAGATTTTTAATTGCAACTAATTTCAGTAATGGAAGTGTAGATCTCGGGTTAATTATTTGGCACAACATCTCCTATATAAAATTATGGTTAGACCCATTTTCTACAGTTTTCAATGCTATTGGGCAAACTTCTAAGAGATTTTTCTCAATTGGAAGGAGAAAACGTATAAGAATGAGCTGGACCAATAAAAGGAATGATCTGCCATAAATAACCCAGGTTAATTATGTAGGCTTTTGATAAAGTTAAAGTATTACTAAATACTATACCATCGTAAAAAGATAATTGTCAGTGTGTAGCAACCCCTATCAGGACTACTAAAGTGCATTCACAGTTGAGATAAATAATTACATATTGCTTATTATTTTTCCTTTTTTGTGTATTTCTGGCCCTTTAATGTGACATCTAGAACTCTTAGCAAGCTGGTAGTTTATAGTTTAAGATCATCAACCTGAAGTAGGAAGGAATTGTGGTATGTTTTACTAGAATATGCATAACTGACAAAAATCTTAAAAGGAAAAATCATGAATTAGTGAAAATGTAATTTAAGCGCAATTAGGATGTACCTGGACATTTTCTCTAAAATGTGAAATGTGTTGGAATTCTGTGACCTTCTTGACATTAGTAGTGATATCTATCTCTGATTGTGTGAATAGCTTTAGATTACATTGTGACTTGCTTGTGATTGTTTCACCAAATTACCAAATACCAGCACATTCAGATTGTTAAATTTCACAAATAGGTAAGCTGTTTATTTTTTTACAATGATTGTCTTCTTTTGAACACTTCTTTATCACTTAACTGCAGTTGTTAAGACTCCATAATATCTGTTTACTAAGTATCGTCTGATAATTTTTAAGAGCCTTAGGGAGATAACTAAATTATATGTGGTTCACTGGCTGGTGCTACTAAAATCAAGCTACCAGTCACTGTGATTTAAAAAATTGTAAGTTAGGTGAAAGACAGTAAATGTGAACAAGTTTAAAATAAGAATTCTAAGGTAAAAAATGTCTGTCAGTGTGCAATCACGGCGGTAAAAGACTTTTTTTTTCTTTTTGAAGAGCTATTGGACACAATCACATATTTCACGGAGTTGAAAGGGGCTTTGAAATGAAAAAGAACCCTCTCTGCCTTACCCTTAATTAAATGGCAGCTTGTACTTGAACACCTTCAGTAAGGGGGGGATACCTGCTACTTTCTGAGGCTGCACATTATACTTTGTCCTAGCTATAAGTGTTAGAAAATTTTTGTTTACACAAATTTACCTTGCATTTCTCACACATTGTTCTGCTGTGTAGATCTAAGTAGAACAAGTTTAATCCCACTTCCACATGACAGCCTTCCAATTAAAAAAAAAAAAAACAAACTGCTATCAGACCAATCCTCCCTTCCCAAGTCTTCTCGTTGATTCATTTTTTCATTTATGAAGCATTTATTAAGTAAGCACTTAGTCTGTGCTGTGTGCTAGAGATACTAAAGCAGTCTCTGCCCTCAAGGAGTTTATATTCTTCTGGAAGAAAGGAACTTTTATTATATTCCTAACTCAGAAGAAAATATATATAAAGTGATTTTGGGAACGGGCATACTAACAGACCATATCATATGCTACGTACTCAATCTCCTTCACTCTCCTAGTTGTCTGGATGCTATTCAGCTTACCAGTGTCCATCCTAAAATATCCTCGGAACTGAATTTGATACCGCAGACATTGCCTAGAACAGACTATGGCCCTCCTATCTTGGATAATTTGGCTCTCTGGAAGCCTTCCTCAACACATCAAGAAAAGAGGCTAAAAGAAATGAATGGTAAATACTAATTTTAAATGCTTTGTGAAGTGTTGGGAATCGATAAAAAACTAATGAGGAAAAAGGTCTTTTGATTTTATGTTTATATACTATCCTACTTGTTTTCTCCATTCTCTTTTATCTTGCTTATCAAACAGCTCCTATGATTCCGGGCAATGACAGTTGCCATTCTTTTTAACATGAATTCAGGATAATTGAACATAAATCCTGTTAACATATCTTTGTGCACTAAACTTTTAGAAATCAGGTGCCAGGATTTACGCTTTTAAAAAATGACAATACTAATATTTTCAAATATTCATTTTCCCTTTTTTTTTGTTCATTTTAAGATATCACTTTTGTACCAGTGTTCTACCTTCATCTATACTCTTCTATTTCTGATTTGATGAGTTTTAGGTTAGTTTGAGAAGTTAGAAACTCTCCTTATAATTTCAGATTTCTGATTTGTTAGAATTAAGGGAGTGAGCAGTGAAGGTCATTATATTAGGTGATGTGATCCCTCTTTGGAATTGATAGATGTTTTGAAATCCTTTTTAAGCACATATTATTTTTATTTCGTTTTTTAAAAATCTTCTGTTTCTTAAGTTTGTTATCTACGTTATCCTTCCTCCTCCCATGTTCTTCCTCCCCAGAGATCCATCCCACATAACAGATAATTTATTATTTGGAAAAGGGAAGAAAAATAAGTGCAACTAGTCAGTAACATTGAAAAAGTCCAAAAACATGCACAGTGTATAACACCTGTGGACCTCCCACCTCCATGAACAAATGTAAGTTCTTATTCTTAATTCCAATAGTTATACCATTAGTTTTGAAGCTCTTCAGCTTTAGTTAATTACTTAAAAGATAATTAACTTAAATGATAGGACTTTTAACAGGTTTTAAAAGCTTTCAATCTTTCTATGTTTAGACACTGAGCTACATATCTCATAAGGGCTATGTTAAAGATGATTGATATATATATATATATATATATATGTACAAAATGGAGAATTGAATCATTCGAATATTAGGTATTCCCTTTTCCTCTATACCTCCTTTATACCGTTTACATGTTTATACCAGTCCAAAATTACTTTTTAGATTATATTCTTTAAATAATATCTTTAATTTACTTACATGAATTCACATAATTTGATAAAATGATAGGCGTAATTTAAAACATAATGGTATTTCTGTGTTACTTAGAGATGTATAACATATATATATGAATTTCAAAGTAATAGCTAATCACTTTACTTTTTTTAAGGCAGTGTTTACTGAGAAGCAGCTTAGTATAGTGGAAAGAGAGCTGACCTCAGAACCAGAAAGATTTGGATTCATGGTTGCCTCTGACTCATACTGATCTTGGGCAAGTTTCTGAACTTCTCAGTGCCAAAGAAAATGTTCCTAAACTCTGAGATGCAGTGAAGGTACAGTCCTGTACTTGGAGCCCTCACGTCAATGTAATCACAGTCTACCTCCGGTCCCTATTCTGGGCCTCACATATTTTCAAATACTTAGAAATAGTGACCTTTTGATTAGATGGAGATGATGATTTATAAATTCATTCTACATGAACCACATCTATATAATTCATTCTTTGCTTTTTAAGCTCTGTGCTTGATACATAGTAAGTGCTTAATAAATGTCTTTTATTCATTCATTAACCTTCCCCTTTTTCCTTGTATCAGAAACATAAAAAAGGAAGGGAAAAGAAAAAGCATTTATATAGCATATGCTATGTGCCAAGAACCATACTAAATGTTTTTACAATTATCGTCTCGTGATTTTCACAACAACCCTGGGAGATAGGTAATATTATTGTCCCTGTTCTACAGATGAGGAAACTGAGGCAGATGTTAAGAGCCTTGCCCTGGGTCACACAGCTGGTAAATGTGTGGGGCTATATTTGAACTCATTCCAGACCCTGCACTCTATGTACTGTGCCACTCAGCTGCCCCACACTGTTTAGGTGCCTCTCACTACTATCAGTCAATCAACATTTACTAAGAGTATTCAATTTGCTAGGTGTTAGAAATAATAAGAAAAAGCAAAAGCTGCCCTTGCCTCCAAGTACTTGAGGACAAAAATAGATTAAATTACATACAAGTTGAATACAGAAGAGATAAAGTTTGAGGTGGGGACTAGGAAAGACCTCCTGAAGGAAGTAGTACTTGAGCTGAGTCTTAAAGAAAGCCAGGGATTCTGATAGGTAAGTTTTGTAGGGAGAGTATTCCAGATGTGCTAGAGAGCCAGTGGGCATAGTTATAAGATTTAAATACCTAAAAAATGACTTTATATTTGATCCTATAGGTAATAGGGGAACTCTTAGAGTTTGAATGGGGTAGTGAACATGGCCAGAACTGTGCTTTAGAAAAATCACTTTGGCAGCTCAGTGGAGGATGGAATGAAGTAAAGAAAAACTTGAGATAAAGTAATGAATTATAACACTTAGAGTAGTCAAGTGAAGAGGTGATGAGCAGTAGCTGTGTGAGTGGAGAGAAGGGGACATATAGGAGAAATGTAGAAAATGAAAGTATAAGGTATGGCAGGTTATAGTATATGTGGGATGTGTGAAGAAATGAGAGGTGATGAGTCTCTGAAAAGGTATGGTTACAATGAGAAAGGGAAGAAGGGGACATACAGGGAAAGGTGTAGAGAATGAAAGTATAAGATTTGGCAACTGATGACATATGTAGGGTGAGTGAAGAGGATGTCACTGAGCTTGCAAACTGGATGATTGGGAGTATAATGGTGCCCTCAGCAGTAATAGTAGAGATGTAAGGTGGTGAATTCAGGGAGAAAGCTAATCAGATGTTAAATTTGAAATGCCTATGGTACATCCACTTAGAAATACCCACTAGGCAGTTGGTGATGAAGGACTCATGATCAGGGGAGAGACTGCATCTGAGTATTATCTTCATCAAGATGATAACTGAAACCATGGAAACTGGTGAGATCATCAGATGAAGAGTGAATGGAGAAAAGAGATCCAAGGACATTCTTGAGGAATACCCACAGTTAGTGGATATGACATGGATGGAGCACCAGTGAAAGAGAGTAGGTAGTATGTGTCAAGATAGGAGAACTGTGAGAGCATTGTCAAAAAAGGATTCAGAAAGATTTCCCGGAGGATGTGATCGGCAAGGTAAAGAAGGATAAGGATTAGGTATGTCAATTCAAGTATCATTGGTAACTGGAGAAAGTAATTTCATTTGATTGTTGAGGTCAAAAGTCTTACTGCAGAGGGTGTAGAAGACAGTGAAAAGAGAAGTAGTGGAAGCACCTAGTGAAGATACCTTTCTCTAGGAGTTTAGCCAAAAAGGAGGGAAAGATATAGAACAGTAGCTATCCAGGATGGTTGGATCAAGTGAGGGTTTTTAAGGATGAGGAGACATGAATGTGTTTGTTGGTAGCGGGGAAGGAACCAGTAGACAAGAAGGGATAGAAGGTTAGAAAGAGTGAGAATGAAAATGGGGGCAATCTGCTGCAGAAGACAAGATGAAGAGGAGAGGAGAATTCTTAGTGAATCATCTAAATATTTTTGGTGAAGTATAAGGAAAGGCTCTCACCACAGAGGATGAGGAAAAGGAGTGGAGTATGCACCTTGAGAAAAGAACATGTTTTGAATGGGGTAGGGAAACAATTAGATAGTAATCATAGGATTGACTTCATGCACTGAGGGCCCATTTGAAATTGACTAGCGTAAATTGATAGTGAACCCAGTTAAGCACAGTTTTATGAGCATACAAATAGGAGTGAAGGAATTAGATGGTGGGAGCCTGAGATCAAAATGTGTCAAAGCATGGTCGACAGCAGGACAAAGAAACAAGGGAATCAAGAGTAGAGGGGTGTGTAGAGAGCTGGTTCATCAGTGGACAAGATTGGGGAGGAAGAGAGGGCAAGGTAGCCAGAGCAAGGGGGATAACTTGGTATGGTATTATGGGATGGAGGGATTGGAGGTCTTAGTGAAGGTGAAGAGTAGATTTAGAAAGAATGAGGTTTGCAGCAAGATACAAAGATTATGATCAGATTAAAGAAATTCAGAGTTCTTGAACAAGAAAGTAGAACACTTATGGTTGAATGTCAAGATCAAGGGTCTGTCAAAGGATATGAACAGGCAGTTTTCACACAAATCAAAGCTATCTACACTCATATAAAAAAATGCTCTAAATCACTATTGATTAGAGAAATGCTAATTAAAACAACTCTAAGGTACCACCTCACACCCATCAGAGTGGCTAATATGACCAAAAGAAAAAAAAAAAAAGAAAAATGATGAATGTTAGAGGGGATGTATGACACTAAAGCACTGTTGGTGGAGTTGCGAACTGATCCAACCATTCTGGAGAGCAATTTGGAACTATGCCTGAAGGGATATAAAACTGTAAATACATACCCTTTGATCCAGCAATACCACTGCTAGGTCTGTATTCCAAAGACATCCCCCAAAAAAGGGAAAAGGATCTATTTGTACACAAATATTTATAGCAGCTCTTTTTGTGATGGCTGAGAATTGGAAATCAAAGAGATGCCGATCAGTTGGGAAATGGCTAAATAAGCTATGGTATATGATTGTAATGGAATATTATTGTGCTATGAGAAATGACAAGCAGGATGATTTCAGAAAAACCTGGAAAGACTTACATGAACTGATGCATAGTGAAGTGAGCAGAACCAGGAGAGCATTGTACACAGGAACAGTAACATTGTTTGATGAAGAGTTGTGAATGACTTAGCTATTCTCAGCAATACAATGATCCAAGACAATCCCAAAGGACTAATGATGAAACATACTGTCCACTTCCAGAGAAGGAACTGATGTTGCTTGAATGCAGACTGAAACATGCTATTTTTCACTGTGTGATTTTTTTTTATTTGAGTCTTCCTTATACAAAATGGCTAATATGGATATGTTATAAATAATTGCACTTGTATAACCTATATTTGATTGCTTACTGTCTCAGGGAGAGGGAGGGAGGGAAGGAAAGAATTTGGAGCTCAAAACTTTTAAAATG